TTATTTCTAAATACTTCCTTTGTTTCAGAAATATTATTTTCCTGTTGCGTGCTTAATTAAATTATATTTCTTTATTTATATAAAAATTAGCATAATATTTAAAATAAACTTACTTTAAATTTTTAAAAAATACAATAATAATGTTTCTCTTTTGTATTTTCTCAGTTGACTTTTCACGGTCTTTAATGCAAAACTTTGGCCATTATTATTTTTATTTATAGATAGAAATGACATATATTATAAAAATTGAATATTTTAAAACTATGTTCAAAATAAACTTAATTGATACTAACTTTATATCATAGATTAATATATTTTTTCCTTAATTTTTCGTCAAAGTTTTAAAAATTGACCTTGAAAATCAAAATAAAAAGATTCAAACGAGACAGAGAGAGAGTAAGAAACAAGAGATTTCAAACTTATACTATTTAATTCGATAACTAATAAAATAGAAAAATAAGCGATCAAAATTGAACCTCATAGAAATATGTAAAGAAAGTATTTTTGAGAGGGAGGAAGGATAATGATCATACAAGTTGTTTTTGAATCTTCTTAGCTAAGGGATCATCAATTAATAATGTTGGGGCCATTTTGTGGGTAGAGAGTTTAGTGGGTTATTATTATTAGGTCGATGATGCACATGAAAATTGGACCAATTCAATTACGTGCGAAATCCGTTTCTATCTTATTCTAAATAAAATGTGTTGTTGACTACAACTCCATAGGCACCAAATTGGAACTAAATTTACGAGTAATTAGTAGGGTCACATGTTGGCCAACTTTAATTAAGCTCGATGGTGCTATATATATTTTGAGTTTATATTTACCACGTACTATTCACAAAATTATTCACACAATGAAACTTTATTTACTTTTCTTATTTTTGTTAGTTACTCACTATTTAATAAAATAATATAATCATGTTACATCATGTTTTTAGAACTTTAGATATAATTTTATAAATAGTTTTAGGACAGATGAAGTTTTGGTAAAAAATCGTTTCATTATGCTCCGTAGTACTTTGTTGGTTCAATGAATTTTGAAGCTGAGTTAATAAAGGGCATGTTTAAGAATAGCGTTAGCGTTTTGAAAAAAGTTATCCTCGAACAGCGTTTAGCGTTAGCGTTTTTAAAGTAATCTGCACCATTGAGGGTCTGTTTAGAAAAAAACGTTAGAAATTAGCGACAACATTTTGGAAAAAATTTTAGCGGTGCAGATTGCTTTGAAAACGCTAACGCTAAACGCTGCCCGTAGATAGCCTTTTCTAAGCGATAACACTAATCTCTAACGTTATTCTCAAACAGGTCCTGAATTTTTATCCAATATGCCAAAGCTTATCTCTAAGACTCTAACGCTATTTCCAAACAAACCCAAATATGAAATTCTTATTTTAGTATTTTCTTTATGTTTTACTCGTAGTTTAATCTTCTTTCGTATATTTTCAACAACATAATTTTACTTTTTTTTAAATAATTGTGTCAAAATTCTGTTCTAGAATTTTGAAAAAAATATTGTCCTTAAAAATGCATGGAATCTTGGATGCAGATTTTACATAGACGAAATTCCAATAAGAGAGATGGTAAGGAACGAAGCGATGGGAGGGGACTACCCGCAGAAGCCCATGGGCCTATACGCCACAATATGGGACGCTTCAGATTGGGCCACGTCCGGCGGAAAGTACAAGGTCAACTACAAATACGCCCCATTTGCGGCCCACTTCACCGACCTCGTCCTCCACGGCTGCGCCGCCGATCCTCTGCAGCAGGTGGTGCTCGACCCCGGTTGCGACGGCGGTCTCGGCGGATCCGATGCTGACGTGGTGACGCCGAAGCAGAGAGCGGCCATGGACCGGTTCAGGCACAAGTACATGTATTATTCCTACTGTTACGATTCCCTGAGGTACCCTGAGCCGTTGCCGGAGTGCGTGGTTGACCCGGCGGAGAGGACCCGGTTCAAGGAGACCGGGCGGCTCAAGTTCGAGAGGCGCCGCCGTCACCGCGCGAGGAGATCTGCGTCGAGAAGTGAGGGCATTTTTGGAAAAGGCGGTTACAAAAGTAGCAACCATTATGAATATTAGTTGTGCTCCATAATTTGATTTTAATATTTTTTAAAAAACTTAATTTGGGATTGGGTTGATTGGATTTTGTTGTTTTTATGGCCAATATATATGTGAATTATGTACAAAGGATTTTAGTCTAAGTTAAACAGTGAACAGCAAACATTATTGGGAGTAATGCTTTTTTTCTGTTAGGAGTTTCTAGTTAGTTTTTATTCAATTTAAAGAAAGAAATAAGACTCTGTTCCGTACGCCTGATCTGATTGAATCTAATCTGAATTTTTGAAGTTTTGATCTGATCTGTTCTGATCTGATCTGATTCGATCTGATCTGATTAGATCTGATCTGATCTGATTGGATATGATCTGATCTGATTAGATCTGATCTGATCTGATTAGATCTGATTGAATCTGATTTGATCTGATTGGATCTGATTTTCTCTAATTAAATCTGGTGTAAATGAATTTAAATATGATTTAAATTAAACTTAAAATTATTATAAAATTTAATAGTTTTAAAGTATTACAATTCATATATACATAAAAAAAATAAAATAAGAAAATCAGCTAATCATTGATATGTTTAAACTTTTTTAAAAAATATTAAACATCTCTTCAATATCACAACTTTTTTAATTTTTGTGAAAACTAAATAATCGGTATTAAAATAACCAAATATTAGAAAATATTGATGCTATTCTACAAAAATATCACATTTTATATACATATTACATAATAATATATTTCATGTTACAAATTAAAGATCATATAAAATATTAAACACTACTATCTCTTTCACCTCTATCAATTTTGTTATAAACTCACCTTTGTGTATATTATACCATTTTAAAGTTTAAAAGTAAGTCTTTTTAAGTATAAAATATTTATAGTTTTAAAAACTAAGTTTTGTATAATTATTTTATAAACAAGTATTTTAAAATAACTCTTTTTAAAGTATGAAAAATAAAACTTTTTAAGCTTTAACATTGCTTCCATGCATCATTTCTATTCTACAAGCTAAACAGTTATTAAAAATAATGGTTTGTAGTTGAATAATAATAATAATATAACAACAATAATATTTAAAATTATAATATTTATTAAGAATTAGGTGTGTGTAGTTTTAAATAAAGTAACGTGATTTAATCAAATAATAGTAATTATTATTTAATCCTTGAAAAATATAAATATTATCTTTTATATTTTTTCTTGATTTGATATTATTGGATTTGATCTGGTCTGGTCTGATTTGGTCTGATCTGATTGGATCTGGTCTGATCTGATTGAGTCTGATCTGATCTGATTGAATCTGATCTGATCTGATTGGATCTGATCTGATCTGATTAGGTCTGGTCTGATCTGATCTGATCTGATTTTAATAAGAATACATAATAAGTATAAAAAAATAAGTCCTACGGAACGGACCCTAAGTAGTTTACTTTGTATATTACTCCGGGTATATCTATATACTCCGTATTTTGTACAAACTCGAATTTTAATACTTTTTGTTCCGTTTTATTTTACATGAAAAGCAAACAAATACTTCCTCCGTCCCCAATTTGATTGTAAATTGTTGGTTACGAAGTAAAATTTCCTACTTTTTGAAATCATTTTATTTACAAATTAGTATATCAATAAGATATAAAAATTACATATTAAAAAACTAAGTCAAAAGTTCTACAAACCAGAGGTTACAAGAATATTTTATTTTATCAAATACTTAATGAAATCGCGTAAACAAACAAAAGTTATTGAGAAGAGAGAAAAAAAATTGTAATCTAGGGACGGAGGGAGTATGTTTTTGAAAAAAAAGAGGATATACTTATATATGTCTAAACTATTGTAAGAGTTTGTTTGAGAATAATGTTATAGATTAGTGTAAACATTTTGAAAATACTTTTTACGAACACTAACATTGGTGTTTTCAAAATAATATGTATCATAAAAATTTATTTAAAGCAATGTTCCCAAAAACAACATAAATCTATATTTCTAACAGTTTCTTTTCAGTGGAATATGGTCTCGTTTCCATTGTTTTGAACTTTGATGTGGAGCACTTGTAGTAAGTGCTTTGATTTATAGTGACAACTTACATGACATGTCCCAATGAGCTTTCTTAAAAATCATTATTAATAATTTATTATTGAGTTTTAATTTAGTCATTAAGGGGGAAACGAGACACTTGATGAATTCGACGGTAATGAAACATTTTTTGTTAAAGAATTTTGAGTAATTCAATAAAAACATTATTATATCATTATTCACGAATGATTCTTTGTTAACGTTTCTATTAAGACTCTGCTCCGTACGCGTGATCTGATTGAATCTGATCTGAATTTTTGCAGTTCTGATCTGATTGGGTCTGATCTGATCTGAGTGAATTTGATCTGATTGAGTCTGATCTGATCTAATTCGATCTGATCTGATCTAATTGAATCTGATCTGATCTGATTTTATCTAATTAGATTTTGTGTAAATGAATTTAAATTTGATTTAAATTAAACTTAAAATTATTACAAAATTTAATAGTTTTACAGTATTACAATTCATATATACATAAAAAATAAAATAAGAAAATCAGCTAATCATTGATATGTTTAAACTTTTCTAAAATATTAAACATCTTTTCAATATCACAGTTCTTTTTAAATTTTTGTGAAAACTAAATGAACATCTTTTTAATATCACAAAAACTTGATTACATTTTAAAAATCTAAACAAAAGAGCAAATTTGACCGGTCGAAGTGTGGATTTCGAGCAAGATGGAGCTGCAGACACCAATAGATCGTGTATGATATCATATATATATATATATATATAAAGTAGGGTTAGTTAGTTGTGGGACTGACACGTGGAAATCCACATAGATGCCTATTTGGCCAATTTTTTCCTGACTCATCAACTTCAATTATTGGAATCATATTTCCTCCGTTACTTTCGATGTTGGGAAGTGGCGATTCAATAAGCCAGAAACCTCTGTATCGCCGCTCAAATTTCTTCCTGAGTTCCGGTTATTGAATCGCAGGTTAGTCATATCCTGTTTTTAAGTTTTGTACAATGCGCACGGCCATCAAAGCTTTCTTACGGCGACGAGGTTTACAGGTTCCGAATTAGAGACTCCAAATCCGCTAAGAGGTGTTTAGCAGGGGGAGATTGATTGGCGGCTAGGTCATCAAATGTCGGAGAGTTTATTTGGTTTTTGCCGGTCATGAGTTTACATGTTGTATATGTCTTTAATGTTTTTATTTTTTTTGGATGGATTTTACATTTAGCTTTCCTTTTCACCTAATGTTGTTTTTTTTTCAGGCCTATCAGCGTGGCCAAGTCTTGGTAAGTGTCGCTTCTGTTTTCTCCTCTTCTGGGTTGAATTCCAATTTGGTGCTCCATAGTTCTGCCGCTCGGGAATCCTTTTCGTGGTAGGACTGGACTTTGGTAATATTTGGTTATCCTTGGCTTGGATTTGGGTTTATTGTTGCTCCATATTAGTTTAGGTCATGGAATAGATTGGTGGGTGATTCCCTGTTATAGTAATGCTTTGTGGTATTTTAGAATTAAAATACTTTTTATTCTAATTTGTTTTCAGCCATGCTTCATATTTCAACCTTTGTAATTGAATGTATGAAGTTCATGTTTTTCGAATAGGAGGCTGAGAAGAAGATAAACTGAGGAAAAAGTGGAGGTATTTTAAATATGTATCCTCTTAAGATTCTAATGTACTCCGTATTTGAAATCATCTGCTTTCTTATCTATTTGAGCAGCTTAATCGGAAGGAGTAAGATTTTCACTAAGTGCTTTTTTATTCTCTTTATCGATTTGAGCAGCTTTTTCTCCATCAATTTTGATGCTCAAACTATTACTTGGGGTTCCACTAATTATTTGTTTTAAACGTGCGATCTGTAACTGTTTTTGGAAATTTAATTATTTGATATATGTAAAATTGGTTCAGTTTCATAGTTGCTGCTTTTTCTACTTTGATCCACACTATTTAACCCTATTCGTGTTCTTTGTCATTTCTTCAATATATGTTCATATAAATGCTCAAATTGGTGGGTTTTACTTGATTCCTTAATTTCCCTACTACACGTCCCATATTGATTATTTTCTTTTTCCTTTTTTTGTGTAGTTGGACTGTTCTATTGAGGGGTCAAGAGCTTTGCTATGAGGAGAGGTGAGGTTGGTGAATTTAATTAAATTTAATGGTCCCGCTGTAACACCTTGCTGGCTTATTTAACAGAAAGTGTTTTTCATCAATTTCTTAGAGTTCAACAAAAAAGCATTGAAAAATAGGCTACAGATTCATCAAAGTTCGCTGAAGCTCTCTAAGCTTGCTAAATGTGAGTTTCTTAATTAAAATTAATTATTCCTGGATCTTCCCTTCCAATCACAAATTCATTATTTTTTAATATGCATATTAAAATTTTGCTCATAGACATCTTATTTTGGAGTTAATAGTTATCTTCAACATATATATATGTGTGAATGAGTGAGTGTGTGTGTGTGTTGTATACATACATACATACACATACATATACATATACATATACATATATATATATATATATATATGTATGTATGTATATGTATATGTATATGTATATATCAATAAGTGAGCCAGTTTAATCTTAGATCACCAAAGCTTTGGTACATTTATCAACAAAAAAATTGATGGTTTTACTAAAGAGGTTTAAGTGTTTTTTAGTAGGCACGTAGGATTAATGACGACAACAATGAAGGTGGTTTTAGAGATAAACAAAGTGACATGCCAACATCCAAAGAAATTCCCACAGGTACAACAATAATTATAATTATACCTGCAAGAGCGGCACACCTCTAACACTAATAGCTTGAGATGCTTCTTTTCTCCATAGACCTTAAACTTCACTTCTCCTCCTTTCATTTGGCTGGTAATATTTTCATACTTTTTTGGAATTTAATTTTTGGTGCATAATTCTTTATTTTTATTAGATTATATCATTGTTCTTCCTATTCTAGAAAGAACTCCAAATCTTTTAGTGGAGAGTTGAGCCTTCTGCCACCAAGCTACTCTAACAGTTTTTTTCTCAAATGTTTTATTATGAAGTTATAGCATGTGGTTCAAGAGATTCAGAAGATTCGTCGGGCTCATCCATTGTTTGTCTCAAGTACGAATCAACGAGTAGATAGCATAAATACACATGAAATGAAATTGCACCATGAGCATCTCTCATTTTAGCTATGCTATGTTTCCTTATGCTTTGTTCATTAAGATTCATGTTTAGCCCGGTAGGATACTAGGATCAAAACAAACAGATTGTGTACTACAAAAGTGAGCTAAAAATGTCTCTATGACAAATCATGTCAGCACATGGTATCTGTATTAATCCATTGTTTTAAAAAGTACCATAATGCTCCTTAACAAATTTTATACACACAAATGTATATATGCTCAGTATATTAGGTTAATGCCAAGTTACCTTCACTTCGTAGATATGATTAATCTTCTTTTAGTTTAAGATTTGAAATTTGTTGAGGATTGAGCCAATACCAAATGCATTATTCTCACTCTTTATTATTTTCCCGTTTTCATGCAACAGGGAATTCTGGATAAAGCACGAGAAGAAAGTTTATGTTACCTTTGGAGTTATAAGTAATGAGTTTCTATTGTATAAGCTATATGATGGGAACATGCAACGAATATCTGAACTAGAAAAGAAACCCGAGGCGGAAAAGAAAATTGATGAACGGGTTAGTGCCCAGTTCAGCTTTTAATTCTTTTTTTTAGAAAAAATCATATCCTATATTCACTTGAGTTTGCTAGGTTCCATTACAGGAAAGCAATTATTAACTTAGCATTATATTCCGTCGGTGTCATGACATAAGATTGTCTATTAGTGCTCCCTCTAGGTGGTTGTATAATCTTTGGTCTTAGAAATTATGTGTAGGTTCAAAAACGCTATTAGTCTCATGACTTAGTTACACACTCAATGATCAAAATAGAGAAGACGACAACCTTTCTTGAGAACATAAGTCGCCTACTCCCAACCAATTAGAATATTGCCCCCGCCTAGGTAAGTTTTAGGATTCTTTTCACCTCCATAGACTGTTTGGTCGAAACGTTCCTAAATAGAGCATTTAAGATAACAAACAAAGACATTAAATGGATAAAATAAAGGCTGTCTTAGGATTTCTCTTCCATAATGGGTTCTTTTAGGATTTTAAGAAAATTATAAAAAAAATTTAAAAATAAATTTAAAAAACCTTCATAAGTTAAAGAAACAAATATAGAAAAAAGGGAAAAAACAAATGCGAAATTAAATATGATAACCAGTGCCCCATATGGTTTGGAAAATAATTTGAGGGGGTGTGAGTGCACAGTATATATGGGCAACACTGTAGAGTGTTCTAATTATAAAGCTCACACGTGGCATCTAACTTTTTTTTAGACTAGGTGTTTGTTTGTTTCAGGTGCATCGCACCAATTGGTTTCTTGCCGCTCTCTTTTATTCACTTAAACTGTTTCTTTTCAATAAATTCTTTCACCTTCCATCACTTCATATTCTAGCAATTGCTCTGTAATTGCCACTAAAGATCAAGAGTTGAATCCAGATCATCTTTCATTACTCTAATTCTATTCAGATTACTCTGATTAGCAACTATCCTGGATGTTCTAGATTTCGCCCTTAGAAGAAAAGATTTTCTGGCAGAAAAACCAGGTAGATGATGGTCAAGGATTGCATTTAGACTAAGTTCTCTCCTCTTCCATTGAAAATGAGATTTCTTCTTCAAAATTTACATGTTTTCAGCATTTTCTTATGGTGTATCATGACATATACGCTATTCTGGGCTCAATTTTTATTTCACTATGGTGTAAATCTCCCACTTCATTTTTTTAACATCTTCAACAAAAGTGGATTTTTCCCTTGGGGAATAACTTTTATAATCATATCTGAATGAGATTTTTTAAGTAAAAGATAACTTTTGATCTCTTATATAACTAAAATTATTACACTGGAGTGCTAAAGCTCACTCCAAGGCTAGAGGTCTCATTCAACTGATGTGGTTATGGGATGTATTTCTCTAATTTGTTGCAATTAATTTTTTAGTTAGTGTAGCCTATTGCTTTTTCAAAGCAAAAAATGTCACCTTTGATGGAGCATGATCTACATATTGAGCACCCAGAGCCTCTAATGTCGTGTGTCATGAGGGGAATAAATTTTTCTATCCTATCCGGGTCAGATGCTGCAAGTACATGATAACTTTTCATGCTTTTATTTAGCTAATTTTGTTAGACTAGAGTGCTAAAGCTCATTTCAAGTATGTTATGTCTTTTTCATTATCAACTCTCGCACTATGGATTCATGCCCTCACAATTGTGTCATTTGTATTTCATGGTATTCACTCCGCCAATTGTTTCTACGAAAATGCATGGGTTCTCTTAGCTACGAGTATGTATTTATCTATTCCAAGTTTAGTTGGTTGGTTTCTAATTTTTATGTTTACACATTGAGATGTGAGCCTCCCAAGTGTCATGTTATATGGAGTTTCTCTTGCTGAGTTATTATTTTCTTTGCACATACGTTTCACTTGCCTAGCTTTTTTAGTGAAATGGACTACTCGTGTTTAGTTGGTATTAGTTCCTTGCGTATTCCTCAACACCCAAACTAGAATATCCAGCCGATCAACATGACATGTGACAAAGTGTAAAATTGATAGTCTCAAAGCTCCTAGATACAGATTTGAACTTTGACCAGACATGTTAAATATGAAAAAATTCACTAAGCCTAGAATTGTAATACTATTAGGCCTGAGATTATCATTAATTGGAATAATTTGTTTATTTATATATATTATTTTAATAATGCTCTAAAAAGGGAGATGAAGATCTGTTCGACTCTGGTATATATAAAAAAAAGAAAAAAAACTGCATTGGTAGGTTTTATATGGTTCCTCTTGCAAAAGTTATTTGATACAGAGTGAGCTTTGTTCAAGGTTTAAAATATTTTGGTGGCTAAATGATATGAGTTGCAATTGGGCAGGGAATACATCCCAGTGGGCGTGTTTGAAGCCATGACAGCGTTAAAACATGCATGGCCCAGTGCGCAAGGGTTTGCGGGTTTTGAAAAACAAAAGGCATGTTCTTTATTTATTTATTTATTCTTTTTAAAGTGGATTCTCCATTTGAATCATTTCTCAACTCATTACTGATTTGAAATTCTTCAATTTGTTTTTTTATTACTTTTGAGATTAAAGAAGAAAAGGAACTAGGAAGCTTGATCCATCCACAACCAGCAAAGGCCACCCGAGGTATGGACAAAGAATAAGGAAGTGGCTTTTACTAATAATATTTTTTCCTTTAATTGATTAAGTTTCAAGGTATTTAATTCTAAAGCCTATTAGAATCCTCTTGTGTAGTTTCTAACTTTCGATTTTTTTAATGTTATTGACTATATTACAATACGGTATACGGAGTAACTTTATATAATTCTATCTCAGATTATCTTTTTGGTGTTTCATAAAATTGACCTCGCGAAAGGGAAAGATTATCCTAATAGAAGTATTTGTTTTGAAATAACAACCTGTCTTCTAACAACCTGCATGTATTTCCAAGCAAGTTTTATCAGTTTGTTATGTTGTGCCACATAGAAAATGCTATCATCGTATCATGAATCATAATGAGACACAGAGTACTATCACTTTTGATGTGCTATTAAAGAGAAGAGAAAGGTTATTTTAGGCAAATAAAAAAGTGGTTGGAGATCGTACTAGCGTAACATTCACACGACAAGTGAAAATACCATTTCAATTGAGGACATGTTAGGATTCAATTGTGAGTTGTTTGTTTTTTCCATTGAATTTGGTTTAAGTATCTAATTTAAATCTATTTAGAGTAAGATTCTTTTTTCTCATTGTCTAATAAGGTTTGATTTTTTTAACTAACCTAAATTGTGGCGGATCATGATGATGATCCAATTCTGTATACAAATCTTAGTGTCTCTAAAGCCTCAAATGTATAGTAAGAGCAAATTAAAACTCTCAATTTATAATTCTAATATGCAGCTTATACCAAGTATCTTTTCTTTGATGCAAAAGTGGTTCCACTGCAATGATGCCCTCAAGAATTTTTGTAACCCCCATGCCGTCCCCCAAAGTCAGTGGCTTAATTCTCAAAATGTGTGCATTTTTTATTATTGCAAATTAGATATGTTTCTAGATTAGATTTTTAAAACAATGGTGCACTGCTACAATTACAAATTGGTTTATTCTTATAGCTAAGGATCAAAATCATTTCTTTTAGATTCGTGAGGACGGTGTTTCTTAGGTATACATCCATCAACTGTTTGATGAATTGTCACAAGAGGAAAATAGAACAATGAAAGAGGACAAAGTATCAATTGTTCGATGAATTACTTGAGAACGCAAATGGAAGCTGTGGAAGAGGACAACACTAAGGAGTTCGGTACCCAATGATTCTCCCATAGAAGCATTGGAAATACTTGAGGAGAGGAAAACAATTTTTGGTGCTATCTAAACTCTACAATAGAAATACCTCCCCTTACAAATGATGACTTGGAGCAAGGCCAAAGTTCTAGCAAACAGCAAGTTGGCAATGCTTTAGGAGGAGCTAAGTGAAGATAATTTTGCAGAGGATCTTTTACGGATATTCAAGAGCTCATGTCCAAAAAAGAAAAGACAGAAAACTAGAGATATTACATTCCAAGCTATGAAAGGCAAGAGAAAAGAGAAAGCCACTTAAAAATAGAACAATAACTTTAAAAGCAAGTAGTAAGAAGAAGAGACCCTTTTTAATGTTTTAGTTGCATTCGGGTTATTACAATATTTCTTTGATTTATCTCTTTCTGGACTATTACTATATTGATTTGAGTTAACTCCTAATTATATTATTGCTCTGTGAAGATGATATTGCATTGCCATTAAATTTAAGTTTCCTTTTCCTGTTTTTGTTGTTGCTAGCTACACATTAGAGCTAATGGCAATACCTTAACTAATGCTGCCTTGAGATTATTTTATTATTGGATTTGTGGATTATGGGTAATGGCAATATCTTAGTTATTTCTGTCTTGCTTACTAACCTATTCTTTGTAGAGAGTTTTGATGCATTGAAATTTAACTGTGTTTTTTTGGTTTCGTTTTTAGCAAATTGGTTAGGCTACAATGCTACACTGACTTGGGATGCTGAGTTTGTTTGGTACTAATGCTGCAATGTTGATCTCCTTTGAGAATTTGCAATGGTTGTAGTATTATTTATTAGTTGGTTAGAATTTTGTTTTCTTTCTACTTGGTCTTTTCCCTTGGTACTTTTTAAAAAAGGTTTTTAATCTTTTGTTATGCTTTTTTTCACCTTTGAGGGGATTTGGTTTGGCCCTAACTTCGTTTTGTACTATTTTCTCCTTAATAAAATTTTATTTTCTTATACACACATACATTAAGATATCATATTTAAAAATGCATTGATAAAATTTTGAGTAAATCATTTTAATTTATTTTTTAAATAGAGCATTGAATTTTATAATTATAATTTACGTGAGATAATACGAGCCCGTGCGAAGCACGGGGTAGAAAACTAGTTTAATTAATAAATTACGTTGAGGGTTGACTCAAATTGCAATTCAGTTTGTTTTTCTTTTATGATTCTTGTGATGCCAAATTTTAAAATTTGTATTTTGGATTGAAAAAATTAAGTAAATTGAACTAATTTAATATTTGACCTTCTAAATTTTAATTCTTATAGTCGATCAAAAATAATTTGTTTATTTTTATAAATTCTTACATACTACTCCCTCCGTTCCTAAATAGATTACAATCTTTTTTTTTTCTCCTCTCGATAACTTTTGTTTGTTTACGCGATTTCATCAAGTATTTGATGAAATAAAATATTCTTATCACCTCTTGTTTTGTAGAACTTTTGACGTAGTTTTTTAATATGTAATTTTTATAGCTTATTGATATACCAATTCATAAATAAAATGATTTCAAAAAGTGGAAAATTTTACTCCGTAACCTGTAATTTGTAATTAAATTGGGGACGGAGGGAGTATAAAATTTGTAAATAAACGAAATCAAAATTATATATACCTTTGTCTCATGAAAAATTTGTATTTTGGAGTATGTTGGGATGAAAACAAACACATTTGCAAGGGAAATTTAAAAGAGTATGGGCCTGTTTGGGAATAACGTTAGAGATTAGCGTTAGCGTTTTGGATAAAATTTTAACGGTGCAGATTACTTTGAAAACGCTAACGCTAAACGCTATAGCCTTTTCAAAACGCTAACTCTAATTGCTAAAGCTATTCCCAAACAGGCCGTAATACACCAAATTGATGAGCACGACTGAATCTTGTCTCAATCAATTCATCGTCGTGAATTTATTTATGCCATTGAAGTCATTCCCAATCAATCAGATCCATTCACTGCAAACTCTTCTCAACTCAACTCGCTCTGAGCTGTAACGCCGCGCCCCCCACCAATATCGCCGCCTCGGCGAAGCCGGATCTGCGAGTCTGCAACAACCGTCGCCGTTGATATGACGGAGTTCGTCGAGCTCGAAGCTCAAGATGCGGTGCGGATGCCGTGGAACGTCTTGCCCGGGACCAAATCCGATGCGGCAAAATGCGTGGTTCCCGTCTCCGCCATCTATACTCCCCTAAAACCCTTCCCCGATCACCCCGTCCTCCCGTACGCCCCGCTCCGCTGCAGGAACTGCCGATCGGTGCTCAATCCGTTCTCCACCGTGGACTACTCCACCACGAAGATGTGGATCTGCAGCTTTTGCTTGCAGCGGAATCATTTCCCCGCCAATTACCAGTCCATCTCCGAAACTAACGTGCCCGCCGAGCTCTTCCCTCAGTACACCACGATCGAGTACGAAAGCCCCCCAGAAAAGGCCGCCATGACTAACCCTGTCTTCCTCTTGGTCATCGACACCTGCCTAATTGAGGAGGAGATTGGCTTCTTGAAATCATCTCTCTTACAGGCATCCACTCTTCTTTCTCTTCTTTGTTAATTGTAAATGTGTATTAAAACAATATAGAGTTCTTCATTTGATTTTGCTTTAAGTGGGTTTGAATCAGCAATGCGGTTTGTAGCCAGAGCTCTTATTGACAGCTAACATAGAATGGCATAAAACTGGATACCTGGTCAGGTAGTGGGTGTTTGTTTAGCAAGATACTCTATTTATTTTTTAGTCTGTGGTTATTGAGAGCCTGAGATTGATTTGAAAACGACAAGTAACTGAAGTCACAATAATAGCAAGACTGAATTTTTAATTGAAGTAGTACTAAAATGCCAATAAAGGAAGAAAAGTTTGCTTGTAGCATATTAAAGAACTCGGGGGAGAATATTTCTTCTGATAATATTAGAATTGTTCAGAATATCTTTGTTATTAATATTACCTGCACCTATATTGACCCATAAGAGTCCATTGTCAATGGAGCTAAAAGAGTCATTTTTGACAATGTTTTAGCTTCGAATCCTGAATGTACTAAATCAAAATGGAACTTTAAACTACTCTTTCTTATTATTTTATATGAAGTTTTGAGTAGTAAATGCATCAAGGGTCTAAAGAAACAACCTTTTTGTTAAATATGCCTTCTGAATGGACAATTTTGTTGAATGGGAAACTATTTCAATATGCTTTTCTTCTGTTTTGGAAGTATAAAGAGAAACTGTATGTAGTTTTCCGTCAACATATTTGAACATGTTTTTGATTTTAAATGTCAGTTTTCCCCTCATGGCAGGTGATAGGCACATTGCCGGAGAATTGCTTGATTGGATTGATAACATTTGGTTCTTACGTGCAAGTTCATGAGCTAGGCTTTAGTCTGATTCCGAAGGTTTATGTCTTCAAGGGGTCAAAGGAAGTCACTAAAGACCAAATTATGGAACAGATGGGTTTCTTTCTAAAGAAACCAAAACCAACTACTGGGGTCATTGCAGGGGCCAGAGATGGGCTTTCACAGGAGAGTATCTCAAGGTTTTTGTTGCCAGCAGCAGAGTGCGAATTTACACTCAATTCGGTTTGTTCATTACACTTTGCATGCGTGTTTGTATACATTAGTGCAAACATTCATTACCATCATCAAATTCTAAATTTTAAATTCTTGGAGTATTTCTTTGTTTGGTTGGTTTTTGTCTTTCACAATTATACATATTGTATTAGTGGCATTGTTAAATGTATTAAGGAAAAGAGGTTTGGTATGTTTTTCAACAATAAAATTCATGGATGCATAGGTTTTTGTTACAGCTTGTTTTTTCATATGAATGGAGTAATATAATCCATGTAGCTGATACATTTATGCTGAATTTATGGATTTTATAACAAACCTTACTCACGTGCATGATAAATCTTTCTTTTCATATTCGTCCAAACATACGTATTCAAGTAAACATTATATGCCCTTTTGCATTTACGTTACTAGATATTGGAAGAGCTTCAAAAAGATCCTTGGCCTGTGCCTTCAGATCAACGAGCAGCTCGGTGCACTGGTACTGCTTTGAGTGTGGCTGCCCACTTGTTGGGAGTATGTGTTCCTGGCTCTGGGGCCAGAATCATGGCATTTCTAGGTGGGCCCTCAACAGAAGGGCCAGGTGCTGTAAGTCTTCTTTTCTCTTTTCTTTGGATGTTAAGTATCACACCTACGCTAGCTTATGGTCCCATTCTTGAATTGTATTGTCATTGATTGGAACAGATTGTTTCGAAACTCTTGTCTGAACCTATTCGGTCCCACAAGGATCTGGACAAAGATTCTGCTCCATTTTATCACAAAGCAGTAAAATTCTATGAAACACTTTCGAAGCAGCTTGTACATCAAGGACATGTACTTGATGTTTTTGCTGGTGCACTGGATCAGGTGATTTTCTTTGTCTGTACTCTTAAACAGTGAACTAGTTTTGGGGGCACAACAATTTGTTACTACCATTCTGTACTCTGTTTTTTGGTATTGAGCATCATCCTTCACATATGATAGGTTGGACTTTCTGAACTTAAAGTAACAATTGAAAAGACTGGAGGGCTTGTTGTTTTGGCGGAAAGTTTTGGCCATAAAGTTTTCAAAAATTCATTAAGAAAAGTGTTCCAGCCTGGAGAAAACGATCTTGGACTATCCTCAAAGTAAGTGGTGTTCGTGTTATTTTCTTTTATTATATAAAACATTCTTGAACAGTTTATTTTAACATAGTACATCTGTACATACATTATTGAAACAACAGTTTATTTTCTTTATAAATTTCATAATAATATAAGAACTACAAGGATGTCTTTTTACATATTTCAACTTGTTAAGAAGCTAGTTTTATAAAAACGTTATTTCAACACGTGTCAGTCATGAACTATTAGCTTTTCAATTTTAATTTATTTTACAGCTTTTAGCTAGCTTATCATCCTGATCATGTATACCTAATAAACAAATAAGCTAAAATGTAATCATTTTCAATTCAATAAAATCCTTTCTACTGCTTTTGAAATCTTGCGGAAGTAATTTCCTTTTATCAACAACCCAGTTGAATCTCACAAGAGCAGGGTCTGGGGAGGGTGTGTGTACGTAGGGTTGCTTTTATCAACATAATTCAAAATGGGCTCTCAATGTTTTGAATTTTCATCAATCCCTAACCTTTTATTTATTATCTAATGGATTTCCCTCTATAATTTTATTTCATGACAACATTACATGTATAATAAACCTAAGTTGACATCTCATATTTGCTTAATTGATTGCTTCAATTTATTGAATAGATTGTTTAATTATCTCTATCTATGTTTTATATAGTTCTTTCTGAAATGCTTTAGTTCAAGTTTTAGTATTAATGGTGTGCAGTGGTATTTTTGAGATAAACTGCTCAAAGGATATCAAAGTTCATGGAGTTATCGGTCCATGTGCATCACTCGAGAAGGTATACTCCCATTTTGCAAAGGTCTGTTTGGCATAAGCTTCTTGCAGGTCATAATTTCTGTGTTATTTTGCACAGAAAGGTCCTCTCTGTTCTGAAACTACTATTGGCCAGGGAAATACAACAGCGTGGAAGATGTGTGGTCTTGACAAAACTACTTCCTTATGTTTATTATTTGAAATCAGCAAGAAGGAGAATCCGGATGCTATTGCTCAATCTGCAAACACGCAGTTCTTTTTCCAGTTCCTGACTTAGTACGAATTTTCTTATCCATTGTTCGTTGTCACAATGTGTGCATGTTTGAGTGTCAAACGTTTGACTTGATAATGATGTGTACCAGTTATCAGCATAGAAATGGACTGATGAGGCTTCGTGTTACTTCCCTCTCAAGAAGATGGGTTTCTGGACCTGGAAGCATACAGGCAAATATTCACTGCTGCATCTGCTTTGTTATATGTATTTATTTATCAGAAATTTCAGTATTATTGCATATCATTCATTTTTGAAAAAAAAAAACAAGCTTTTTAATGCTTATTTTAACTCTGTATTAGGAACTAATTGCGGGATTTGATCAAGAGACTGCTGCTGTAGTAATGGCTCGTCAAGTTTCATTCAAAATGGAAACTGAGGTATGCCTTTCTGTAAAAGTTTGTGTTATTCGTTTTGTTCAATTACGGAGTATTATTTTGGTGTTTAATCTTCAATTTATGGGGTTCCTCAACTATGTATACATGTATGTATATTTTGTTCAGGCGGAATTTGACCCTATACGATGGCTGGATAAGTCATTGATACATATGTGCTCCCGATTTGGTGACTACCAAAAAGACAGTCCTTCATCTTTTAGTCTCTCTCCTCGTTTCTCAATATTCCCACAGTTCCTTTTTCACCTACGGCGTTCTCAATTTGTACAGGTATAAAAATGCGCCTCATCTTTCATAGTTTCAGATTCCACACAATTTTCTTATTTATAATTTTTTATCCATCCATCATATGTAACCCACTGAGCATATATTGTTTCAAAACTTTTATTTAGGTCTTCGGGAACAGCCCAGATGAGACAGCTTTTTTTAGAATGATTTTGAACAGGGAGAATGTTTCAAATTCTGTTGTGATGATTCAGCCGTCTTTGATCTCCTACTCTTTTCACTCTGGGCCCGAACCTGTTCTTCTTGATGTGGGTGCAATTGCCGCTGACAGAATTCTTCTTTTGGACTCCTACTTTACCATTGTTGTGTTTCATGGATCAACCATTGCTGAATGGCGAAAAGCTGGATACCATGAACAGCCAGAACATCAGGTACTCAGCCTTAATGCTCATATGCTATCTTTCCAGGGATAAACATCACTTATACAGTTGGATTACTGCAGCTATGCCCTTATTGTGACCCTAACATTTGCATCAAGTTGCAAATTGTTGTGTAACATCTGCATCCAGATTTATTTTGTCTGTTAATGCTATGTTTATGGATCACAAAAAATATAGTTTTATATATTGTCTAAATAAACTATAACTATTGAAGAAATTATTGTGATTAAATTTAAACGTCTGCAACACAACAACGACCCGCAAGATCCTACATGTACGAGTATAGCTTAAACTTGTGTGGGATGCTTTTATTTGAGTTTTTCATGCATGCCATATCTCACATATAAAAAATAAAAAGAATTTTTTTTAGGAAATAAAAAGAAGCATTTAACATAAGAAAATTTAAGTTTTTTGCAAGATTATTAAAACGTGTCATTTCACAAGTAATGTATATTTTGTCTTTTTTTGACTGTCGTACTTTTGTCTAATGCCAAGTTTGGTAATAGTTGTGTGGTTCAAATTCATTATTACTTTTTCGTAGTTTTGAACATAAATACCAACAATACGATTCTACATTCTTTCTTTTTTTTAATTTTTATGTCATTAACCCATGTCCCTCGGACAGAGGGAGTAGAAGTAACAATTTTTTTTATCTTTACTTTTTTTAGAATTCAAGGGTCAACCTGAACTTGGAAATAAAAAAAACTTAAGCACAAATAAGTGCTCACACTAGAGTGAAATTATGATCCTGATGACAGATCCCAACTGGAATCTGAACCTCTTGTTATGTTGAATGGGAGTGACATTAAAGCCAGTGTGACCTTTAATCTTTTCCGATTTTACAGGGATTCGCTCACTTGTTGAAAGCTCCACGGGATGATGCAGATTCAATTATCCGGGAAAGATTCCCCGTGCCTCGCCTGGTCATTTGTGATCAACATAAATCCCAGGTATAATTCATCAACCCAAGTCCCTCAACTCGGCACTTTGTTAGTCCTACTACAGTTTGTTTGCCCGTACTTTTGTATATGAGCCTGGAATCTTTTGGAAACAACCTTTTTACTTTCAACTTTTGTTTTTCTGTGAGATTTTTCTGGGTTTGTTGTTTTATAAGGTTCATTGGAGAGCGAAATCTTCTTCTTTTGGTTGAATGTTTAACATGAAGTTTTATGAATGCAGGCCAGGTTTTTGCTTGCGAAGTTGAATCCTTCGGCGACGTACAACTCAGAAAACCCGCCGGTTCCTGGAGGGGATATCATATTCACTGATGATGTTAGTTTTGAAGTCTTTTTGGATCATCTCCAGCGTTTGGCTGTTCAATAGAATAGGATTCATTTTTTTTTGTCCTCTGCATATTCTTCCTTCAAAGAGTTTGGTGGCAATTTGTAGTTTTTTTTTAATACGGAGTATTATGTTACACAGCAAAGATTTTGTAAAAGTTTCTTTGAATTGAGTGTACAGTAATGCATAAGACCTTTTATTTATTATTTTTAAAATTAACTGTTTTTTTTTTTTGAATTTGAGATGTACGAATTTTGTGGCTTAAAGATTTTTTTTGTATTAAAAAGGGTTTACCCATACAGTGAGATTTTGATTGAATTTCATGGATTCAAATCCATTCAGTAGAATATGTTAAATGCCCTTAAAAAATAAATTTGATCACATATTATGAAAAAATATATATTGATTTTTCATAGTTCTGCGCAAGGGCAGCGACTTCGTACGTTGGTTGAATGAGTTAAACATGCTTTACCAATGCTTTGTGTAGCATTTGTGTGGCGTCTCATGGTTTGTTGGGATATCAAACTTTTAAAAAATCCTAAAAGGCCATAAAAATTGCATCTATTAATGATTGAAGATAAATAAAATTGTGTTTTTGATAAAGAGTACGAATGACATTCAAAGAGAATAACATCTGAATTAACTTTGACTCACCTCCAGAGAAGTCAATAAGACTTATCATGATGATAAAGTGGTATACTAAACAAGTAGAGGATACCAAAAATTACATGGAGACATCTAAGCCTATGACCTCCTTATTCATATACTCCGGGGTAAAAAAATGATTAAAGACAAAAGAACTGCAAAAGAAAAAAAAAGAGAAAAAAAAGTGTAACAGTATTGAACTGAACTCTTACATATGCTCAAGGCCCACACAAATTTTAGAGAAACAAATTGTGTCTACCTTAGGAAAGAAACAAATGAGATGCCATTTTGTTCCCTTCATTTGTCATCATTGCAAATATGTGCTGTGTTGATTTCCCCACTATTTAGATTGGGTAAATATAGTTTATATTTAATGTATTTGGTAAAATAATATTGTCATATCATTTCTTATTTTATACTCCAAATTAGAACTTTTTGATATAATTTTTTAATATGTCATATCTAAATATAATTTTTAAATTTTATATGGAGTATATAAAATAACATCCATGCAAATTGCGAGTAAGGAAATCCTCATACATTCATCCAAATTACCATTGATGACCAGATATAGTGCAATTATGTTAACATTATTCTAAGTCCCCACAATTCTTGTGTTCATCTAATCAAACATCCTTAACTATGACTTTGGGTTGATGATGAGTCAATGGGTTATTATTCTAAGGGTTCAAGAAAGCCATGATTCAATCTTTCTCTGATGGAGCTAATTAAGGGTTATTAGCACATCAAAATACCATCCATTCATGCACCCTCCAACAATTAACCTGAAACAACAAAAACAGTACTATTAATTGTAATTAATAACTATAATAATAATAATAATAATAATAATAATTTTTATATTAAAAAGAGAAGAAGAAGAAAAGAGAAAATTATAAATTACCAGATAATAATCAGTAGCTGCTAGTTGGTGCAGTGGCTGCATAATGCTTGTCCACAACCTCAATAAGCTTATTGGCAATGGCACTTGCATACACTGTTGAACCTTCACAAATCTGTATATAAATATGTATGCACATTATACATAATTAGTCACACTAAGGCTCTGTTTGGTTGCAAGAGTTAACAAGTGATTAATTCTACTCGACACCACATTTGACATAGCATGTGACACCATCTCTCTTAACGTGTCAATGGTGTCAAATGTGGTGTCGAAAATGGTGTGCAAATAGCTTCTTTTTTGTCGAAACAAAATAGTACCTTGGAGTTGAAGAGGAAGCTATAGTAATCACCAATGAGGCCACCAGCAACATGGTGGAGATCAAGCTGAAGCTCATCAAGTGCCTTGGAGACAAAGAGAAGACAGTTGATTCTCTTCTGCTGCACAAGCTTCACTGTCACCTCGTCGTCGATGATCCGAACGTCCACCTCCGTGTTCTTCGACTTCCTCTGCAGCCAAGAACTCCTCAACCCACTCCCATTGTATGAGGAATTGCAATGGTCCTTCATATCCTCCTCCTCCTTCACACCGCCGCCGCCACCGCCGCCATTGTTGTGACTGGTGTCATCCGTTCTCTGCCTCTTCATCCTCTCCCTCATGCACCTCTTCTTCTCCACCAGAATCTTCAGCTCCCCAACTGTCCTCTTCAGCTCATTTATGTACTCTATGGCATCATGCACCACTGATGCTCTGTCATTCTTTGAAAATCAACCCAACACCAAATTTCAGAAGAACTTCTAGTGGAGTTAATATGAAAAAAAGAAACAAAAAAAGTGAAAAAAATTTGATTATATATATGTATGTAGTTGTAAAACAGGTCAAATTTAAGGCCAAAGTGACAAAAATTTCCCTTTGATTAGTGTTGAAATATTAGAAAAATAATATTGCTCCTTGAATTATGGGGTACATGATAGAGTATATATAGGAGAGACTCCTAACACAACTAGGAATATAGAATAGAAACTAACTAGCATACAACATCTATCACAAATAGGATTAGGAAGCTGACTAATAATGAAACACTATCACAACCAATACTACCACAAGTAATACTATTATTATTGTCTAACATCCCCCCTCAAGCTGAACTCTGGCTGAAGCAAGAGGAAGCTTGGACACTAGCTCGAAACTGGAAACTTTGAAAGGAGAGAAATTTGACGTGCGCCGGTGGCTGCTGACGTCGTTGGAGAAGAGAGAAGTCTGACGTGCGCCGGTGGCTGCTGACGTCGTTGGAGAAGAGAGAA